GTGTCCATTTTGCATCTCTTTGTGATTGTTTTGTGTTATTTGAAATCTCTTTTAAGGTGTTCTGTCTCATATCATGAAGTTTGCATCTCTTTTTGGTTCTTTATCGTCACATGTTAAATGTTTTGCATCTCCTTGTAATCATTTTGTGTCTCATTTTGGTTGTCTAGCATCTTTATGTGACCATACTGTTGTTTTGTGTCCATTTTGCATCTCTTTGTGGTCATTTTGTGTCACATTTTGATCATTTTGTGTGTCTTTGTGGTTGTTTTGTGTTACTTTGCATCTCTTTTTAGATTTTCTGTCTCTCCGTTACCAGTTTGTGCCTTATTTTGGTCATTTTGCATCGCTTTTTGATTGTTTACTGTCACATGTAAACATTTTGCGTCTCTCTGCAGTTCTTTATTGTTGCACATTTAGCCTTTTTGCATCTCTGTGATCATTTTGGTCTCACTTCGGTCATCTTGCATTTTCTCGTGGTCGTTCATCGTCTCATTTGGCCGTTTCCTCAGTGAGTGAGAGTTGTTATGGTGAGGTCAGAGGTCACCGACACTTTCAGGAATATCTAACAGCTCTACAGATAGGAGCTACGGTGAGAGTCGCAGGTTTCAGTAGCGTCTGCAGAACTCTGATGGTTAAACTTCAACTCAGACACAAACATGTTGCCGCGGTTGTTGTTGCCGCGACGCCTGCGTCAGCCGCCGGCGGGTTGACCGTCACCGTGGCGACCCAGCAGCACTTTAACCTGCAGCATCGGACAAACAGCAGCTCACGTCTGACAGGAAACAGGTGAGAGGTGAGGGGGCGGGGCCTCGGCGTGACGTCACAGCTGTTGTGTTCGTGCTGCAGGTGCATCGAGGTGATTTCACGGTTGTAGAGCTTCTATCAGCATCAGCATCTAAACCTTTACAGCCTGGACGTCCAAACAACAGGAAGCAGCACAACCTCTATAAACGGTGACCTTTATAAAGAATGTAAAGACACAAACAACAGTGTCCTGCAAAAACACAGCAAACTACTGGTTATATAACGTTTCCACTGTGATCAAGATCAACTCAAGGTGTTGTTACCTGTGAATTACAACATGATCTTTTTAAAACAAATGCATCAACATCACTGTGACTTACAGATATTTAAAATAAATAACAATCTCAGATCACAGGAACTCTCAATGAAATGAAAAATGTCGTTTGTTGTTAATTTTGCATCTCTTTATATCACATTTCTAGAAATTTTCCAGCTGTTTTTAGTGTTTCTGTGTTTATTTTGTGTCAGATTTAAGTTCTTTATGTCTCATTTGGGATGTTTTGCGTCTCTTTGTCGATATTCTTTCTTTTT